ATTCCTGCTTTATTTAGCATGTTTTTAGAAAGTCCAATTACTGATAATTTTTGTGTCTTAGACTTTTACCTTTAAACCAGTGATCTGAACAAGTCTAGACAAAGTGTATCTCAAAAACTAGCATGCTGCCATATACAATACAGTTCATGTAGCGATTTTCACGTCAGCATCTTACTGTGCTTTCTTTGTTTATTTTTAAATGGACAGGATTTCAAACCACAAATATCCAGACAGTTATCCTTTTAAATCTCTGAAAGTGCAATCTCAGAGGCATCACTACTAGCCCAGTTCAGGGTTAGAATATTTTCTAAATCTAGTACTTATATGGCTGTATGAAAAGAAATTTGGGAAAACATCTAGACTCTACTGAATACCATGAAGATGTCATGCTATATGTAGTATGTACTCGAGAGTGTCTTTTTTCATTGTAGATGCTTCACAAATTTCTAATTCTTCTATGTCCAAACACTGAGAACTTCAGCTTGACAAAGTCTTTTGAAGAAGTACATTAGAGTGTACAGACAGTATGAGAAAATATTTCTGGGTTTACCATTTTTTTCATTCATCTTAATATCTTGAGGCTGAATGCTGAAGAAGTAATGTTGATCTAGGTGCTGGGTTTTGTGGGTTGCATAGTTTGTGGGTTGGGGTTTTTTTGTTTTGGATTTTTTTGTTGATACACCCAGATATTATGCTCTGCAAAGTTCAAATCAATTTGAAAATGCATTATGCGTACAGATGTATTTAATGGTACAAAAACTTAGTACCAAGTGCTGGACTCTTTTAGGAATTTCTTACTAATGGTGGGAATGGTCCTTGTTCCCAGAGCAGGAACAGTAGTGAAGAACTGCAATGACGCTTAGACTGTCCTGGCTAATGGAGAGGCTTTAAAGTGAGTTCCATCAATTTTACTCAAAATGTGTCAAAACACTACTAATTTACAGAATGGTTTAATGGGGTTTCTTTTATATTTTGTGGCAAAGACTATTGTTCAGAAAACATACCAGAAAGGTTATTTAAGCTAAAGAGCCTTGTCAGTGCTTACAGTTAATGAACTATTGAGTAGCTATTTTTATAAATAATGATTCACTTGGAAAATTCAATGTCTACAAATAATTTTAAGCCCAGTCTAGGTACCACCAAGATCAATAGGGTACAGATCAAGTCTATAGAGTAGT